CTGCGACAGAGTTAAAAACAACAGAAATTTAATTCCTCGGCCGTGGGGCAGAGGGCGTTTTTCAATTAGTTGGAGGCAAATTAGACTGTGCTGTTCAGAGGCTTTTCGAGCTATTCACACAGGGAGCTGAATTAATCGCTGCATTGAGGTTAGTGGAACTATGACCGGGCTTGTGAATAGAAGTTGATAATCTATTTTGATTGTATCGTATAACACAATTTTGGGGAGCTGACACTTCAAGGAAAAAATGTTTAAGTGAATCAGATTTTTTTCCTGAGAGAACAGAGGGCCATTATTGGAAACACAACCTCGGAATGAACAAAAGTAGAAATTGGTGCACGACAAGGTTCTGTTTTGGGTCCACTACTGTTCCTAATCTACATAAACGACTGCCCAACGACCTAGACTGCGCAGCTGTCATGTTTGTGGATGACCTTGAAATATGGGCTGAAGTTAGCTGCATTGATCACGTAAAGAAGTTAAAATCAATCATCAATAAACTGATTATCTGGTCGTCCACTTGGCTTCTTGCGCTTAACGTATCCAAGCGTCTGGTCCTACACATATACCCCAGTCGAAAGGTGCTGCAGAAACAGTTTTTAAATGGCCCCACGTTAAAAGAGGTCGATACGTACAAGGACGTAGGCATGTTGACAACTACGAACTTGATGTCATGAGAACACTGTAAAAAAGCAGTCTAGAAGGCAACTAGTACGCTGCACTTGATCGGCCGCGCGTTCAAAATATTCCCACTTAAACTCTTTGGACTAATATTTGGCGCGTTTTTGAGACCACATCTAGACTACGGAATGCCGGTTTGGACACCTTGGTTGAAAAATATGTGGACCTTCTCGAACAAGTGCAATGGACGCGGACGAAAATGGTTGATGGTCTTATGGACTTACCACACCCGGAGAGATTGATAATGTTGGATCTTTTTCTTTTCACTTACAGGCACTTATACTGTAGCCTGCTCTGGACATTTCGGATAATCCGGAACAAAATTTTCTCCTTGAGGCTGGAGGATTCCTTCGGGTTAGCTAACACAACTCACTTTGCGTGGCCATCCTTACAAGCTCACAAACGATCGCACTCGATTGGACCTTAGAAAGTTTTTCTTCAGCCACCGAGTTGTAAGACTTTGACACTCGCCACCAAGCGAGACGGTTAACGCCGGTGATTATAAAAGAAGACTCAATGACCTTTTATTTGACAATAGGCGACTATCACAACATGATTTCTTATTGCTAGCTTATTAAACATTTTACTGGCTCCAATTTATTTTCATACTCTTGCACATTGCTCCGCTACAACTTACTCGAGTGCGTTTTATGTTTACTGTCCACAACTTCATACTGACTGTAACCCTGCCTGCAACCCTTCAAATCTAAATACACAATTTATTTACGCACGATCTTCCCCTAAGAAGGTCGTTTTGTGCATTAGACCAGAGGTTATGGGTTTCCAAATGTGTCATCAATTCCTTTTTGATGATCTCCATAGCCTTGCAGCACATGAAAGTCAGAATGGCTTGCCCATAGTTGTTCGCAAACACACAAATATAGCTTTTGTGAAGCGGTGTAATACGGGCTGCTATCCTTTTGATACTTCTTTCGAATTTTCGTCTTTTACATTCGATCTTTTGGCGAGTCTAACAACTTGCCCCTTGGATTTTTGTGATCCGCTCCTATAGTCTTCCTGTCCTCTTTTTCTTATTATATACTGCTTCTAGTGGCCCTACGTTTCTAATGTTAACTGATGCCTAACACCCCGGGTCAGAATTGTTGCCTAGCATCCAACGATTTCTTTGAGCTGGCCACTACTACTAAATTGCGCGGACACCCTCTCAAACTACGTGTGACTGGGGCAAGATTGAACACACGAAAATTCTTCTTCCTCTCAAACTACGTGTGACTGGGGCAAGATTGAACACACGAAAATTCTTCTTCTTCTAAGAGGCTAATCAAGGCATTGAATGTTCAGCCCGCAGACATTGTCATGTCCCCATCTGTGGAGACGTTTAAGACGAGGTTGGACCAGCGTAACAAAGACTTTCTCTGAAATGAAGCTAGATTACTTGCATTTATAAAAACATACTGCTCGCTACTTTTCAGTAATATGTTTGTTCGGAATAACAGCCGATGATCGTGGGCTCCCGTGTTTCGTCATCTGGTCGGCAGACCCAGGGCATATGATGGGCACATCTCCGAAACTCGGTGATGTTCTCGTGACCTCCGCGATCTTCTCCTCGTGTGACCCTTAGGATATTGAAGAAACCGCGATGGCCTCCTCCTGACATGCTTCAAACACTTTCAGCAGCAGGGCATCCGATTTACATATACCCTTCGCCTCCCCCTCCCCATTTTGCACTTCAAATTTGTTATTCATCATTTTTTGTGCCACTATGTTATTTTCACCGAAAAAACTTCAGAAAGGAATGTTTGCCTTATGTACGAGGCGGAAAGCCTTTTACGTTATTCTGATAGCAGAAAGGGACTTAATAAGTTAAATATCTTCATCTAAAGGTGATTGCAGATAAAATTCAAAAAAATAACCTTAGCGAGTAGGTGTGAAATACGATGTATCCAACGACTACGTTTAGTAGAATAACACAGCCTTCACGGAGTTTGTTCTAGGTGGTTCATTAAGAGGATGAGCAGACCATCTTTGTTCGAAAGCAGCAGAAACAGCAGCATAAAATATGATCAACACGTGTCACAAAATGTTATGAGAACTAGGTGATCTCTTCTACATAGCGTAGAGAAATTTGTGCTTTCAATTAGGCAGGATGTGCGCAGCATGTATTCGTGAAAACTTGCATGCAGAATTCCCGCAAGTATTTGCCTCCTATTGAGTCTACTGTTTCCCTTCTTTCTGTTATACTGTGTTTTCTAGTAGCTAGTATACACAAGATTTATATTCATATGAGCTGCTGTGCTTGCTTCGGGCATTTCCAATTCCAGCGATTGATTTATCATCGACGACATTGAGGGAGTGGATGATTCTTCCATTGCAACACAGTATGTCCCTTTCCCACCCATAATTCGTTTGTATATAGTGCTACGATGAAATGTGCAATACTTATCTTTCGTTGTGACTGTCCATCGGTTGTAAAAAAACATCCCAACTGATTTGACTATAATTTCAAGATTAATTTATATATAGCCTCGTAAACATAGTGCATCCCAATGGAAAATTGGTCACTTGAAAATCTGAACTGCCTGCCGAAAAGTTCTTAAAAATAGACACGGTTGCGCCTAGCGGCATGCAAGCAAACTCGCTAGGCGAGGCCCAGTTTTGGCAGAGCCAACAGAAATCAAATATGTACGCCCGTTGATCGGGTCTTCACTGCACTGCGTTCCGAAGAAATCGCTTATAAACCGACCTTCTACAGTCTACATAAACGAAAAGGAGCATTCTGTAGCTCAGCCATTTACA